GTTTGATTAAAGGAAAGAGGAAACTAAAGAATTACATCAACTAAGTAAATCAGAATCTGATTATTGGACCCAGAAAATTATAGACCTCGTGATTGAGAACATTGCAGGATCACCATTAATATCAGAGGTACAAGAGAGATAGTACAGTAGCCATATTGTACAATGGCTCTACGATAAAGCTAGTTAGAAGAAGTATCAGCATCATAAGAAGTCAGTATGAAGCTCCTACCGAATTGTGTATACACCAAAGGTGCAAGTATTATAATAGAGCTTCAAGTTGTGGACGTGAATTATACCCATGTGGAAGGGAGGTCATGAAAGAGATATAAGATACGATGCAAGATTTTAAGGTAAGTAAGGTAAATGTGAACAAGGTACGAGATACTCAGGTGCAGAAGATTGTGAATAATCCAAACTTCAGATAGAGGGCTAGAAGCGTTGAGATTCAGTATCCAGGAAGGATAGTGGTGTCATTAATGGCATATCTTCCAGCCTATGTTTGTAGGTATCGAGAGGTCTAGTTAAAAAAGTAAAGAATAATTTGAGACAATGTGATGTCTCGCTTGATATTCCAGAATAACACAAAAAAATCTATGGTGCAAGCAAGTTGATGGAAGATTACGAGTAGTATAAATAGATATGTGTAGGTCGCAAGCTAAAGTATGGTAAAGCGACAAGGTTTTAGGAAGACAGGAGTAAGGATAAGAAAGGGCAAATGAGAAGGTGACGAGAATGGATAAGTCCTCAGGATTAAGCCCATGAAAACAAGAGAGCTGATGGTTTTTCTAAGTTATAGAAAGCTTAGTATAGCCTGCATGAACTCAAAGGAGTTACTCATCATAAGTAGTATTTAGAAGAGATGGAATGCTACCTGATAGTAGAATAAGGGTGTAGTTGTGATAGATAAAGGATGATGTTTGGGCCTTAGATTGAATAATGATTTGAAGAAAAAAAGAAGAAAGGATTCTTTAATTGTACGGGATTAAAATACCCACGTAAGGTGAATCATATTGGGATGCTATGAAATACGGTTATTTTAGTATAGTATCGCCCCTAGGTGGATTAGGTAAGTCACTTCACATATCCCCCGATGAGATGTAAGCCCTAGTGACAATGTATTACGTAAGAGGTTTCAAGTTATCAGTAGTAGATTGCAGATCAACATTGAGGTGAATCAACAATGGATGGATAAAAGTTACAAAGTATGAGATGAGAATAGGCCATCATTCTTAAGATGAAAAGTAATGGAGAAACATTAAGGACTTAGATTTATATATATAAGATAAGCAACAAGAGTAACCTAAAGTTTGATAGCAGACCTCAGCGACGATAAATCGAAGTAAGAGTTATGGTATAGTATGGCCTATCTAGATGCAGTAAAGTCATACGGATAGATAACTGGGTCTATGAAATAAGATATAGCAACATTCGTAGGTTCGGCAAAGTACCGAGCAAAGAACTTCAGTATACCTATAGATGCCTAGAAGGACATCCTGTCAAGCTCTGTATATGTTTGCAAAGTAAGGACTAGAGATTGGCTAAAAACTGGAGGAAAAGGGAGAGAAGAATCGCATAGGTGCACTTACAAGGAAAAAGTCGTACAGGCTACATGACTGAAGGTAGAAACATTTACGAGATTGGAAGAATTCCGACACAAGTCGTCATGTGAGAAAGAGTCCTAAAGAGGGAAATGCCTTGGCCTTTGGATTTATTCACAGAACAGTTGCCTAGATGGCAAGAAGAGTACTAAATTATTCGCAAGAACTATCGGTTATGATAATGATAAGTACATCAGTCAACATTCGAGGACGAATATTCCAGGAAGGGGGGGGGGGTGATGTTACACCCCATGTTTTCGTACTGAAAGTACACCATAGGTAAATTGATGAAAGCTCGGAAATGAGATGTTACATCCCACATTTTCGTACGTTAAAGTTTCATCGTAAGTTAATCAAAGTAAGCTTGGGAATGATATTATTTTGAGATTATAAGTATTACACTATTTCAAACAAGTGATAAGTAAATTAGTGAAGGTGAGAGGGTAAGCGAATCGAAGAAAGTGAGTTTCGTCGAAGTTTGTCAATTTGTGATAAAATATGGTCCGAGTTATAATGCCTGACATTTATGGACTAGTACTATACAAGGTACCACATGACCGTGATAGTAAGGTGTATAAGGTATGTTAAAAGTAAGTATTATTTTAAGTAATTTGAGATAATTTTTATTTATGTGGGCAATTGGTTAATTATTAATTTTAGTGGAAGATTAACTAATTAATTAAGGCTTTTGGATAAGCCTTAACGTGGCAACCAAGAACCTTAATAAATGTGACTCTTAAGTTCACATAATAAGGTGGCAAGATTGGAGGAGTCTTTGTGGCCAATTCATCATATAGTGGGGCCCACACCACTATAATAAGAAGCCTTTCTAATTCATTTAAGAGAGATATCATTCAGCTTTGCAATGGTAACATGATTAGCTACAACAAAAGGCTTCTCTAAAATCACAAAATGAAGATGGTCATATTCACTAAGTGACGGATGAAGCTTCAGCAAATTATACGAGATTATATCATGTAATAGCAGCGTGAGATGCAATTCCAAGAGAGCACGGTACAATCTTTCTCAAGAATATCATACAGATTTTTTCCTACTTTGATCCGTCGTTACGTGTTTTATCACAAAAGATGTGTGTTAGAGGGATTGTCAAGAGAAACGACTCAGGTATGTTAAGGCTATCCCTTCTTTCCTTTTGGCATGATCCATGCGATACAAACGAAATGAGCAAATGCACAACTTTCATAAATGACTCTATTCATAGTAATATTAGATGTGCCTATGTTCTTGATTTCCCATGTGCCCTATTGTTCTATCATCTGTTCATGGATCTCAGAAAATACGTAAGTTGATAAAGTTTACTTCATGATATTAATCAAAGGCATAATTGTGTTATGACACTCCGAAAGATTTTATTGATGTACTTCTCATGCATTGCATTCATTTATACATGTACATTGACCCATGACTAGATGATGTTATATACATATATATATATATATATATATATATATATATATATATATATGTGTGTGTGTGTGTGNTGATTAGCTGGTATGCATTGATGATTTTGCCCACAATGGATGAGATGATATGATGGGATGTCCTCAGAGGCTTGATGATATTATGTACACATACACCTATGCATGGTATGGCATTTATATGCATATGCATGATATTTTAAACATTAAATGATTCACTGAGCTATTCAGACTTACACGTCGAGTCTTTTACTCCATGTTTCTCTCATGTCTGTTATTACTGATTTCATTCCTTACATACTTGGTACATTATTTGTACTGACGTCCTTTTTGCCCGGGGACACTGCGTCTCATGCCTGTAGGTCCCGATAGATGGGTCGAGAGTCCTCTAAGTAGGCTATCAGCTCAGCGGAAGGTGTTGGTGCGGTCCATTTGCTCTAGAGTTGCTTATTTGGTTAGTATGATTAGTACATGTATTGATTGGTATGGCCGGCCCTGTCCGTACCTTTATAATATTATGTACTCTCAGAGGCTTTTAGACAGATGCCATTTATACAGATACTTGTATGGCCTTGTCGGCCTATGTTTTGGTTTTACAAACGAGTATGTTGGCCTTATAGGCCCGTATATCATATGTATAAGTTTGTATTACATGTTAGGTCATCCTATGTCGAGGGTTCCCTCATGTTTTATTCTAGTTGTCTCATTACAGCCTTCTCGGCTCATTTGCCTATGATAGTATGATACGAAAGAGGCGTTACGTTGATACTCGGTTGAGTAAGGTACCGGGTGTCTGTCACGACCCATCAGTTTGGGTCGTGACACAGATAATAATAGGAACCTAAAAATAAGAAAATACGAGAATACATACTAATACTACTAGTATGGAAAAGAAAAACGTTCGACTACCTACTAAATCACTACCATAATTTTCGACCTCCACACCCTCCTATTAAGGGACATGTCCTCGCTAAGCTAAAGATGTATCATGTTCTGCCTAATCACCTATTGCCAATACTTCTTCGGCCTACCTCTACCTCTTCTAAAACCCACCATAACTAATATCTCACACCTCCTCAGTGGGGCATATGGGTCTCTCCTCTTCATATGCCCGAACTATCTTAGTCTCGCTTCCCGCATTATGTTCATCACGGAGGTCACTGCCACCCTGTCCCGAATATATTCATTCATGATCTCATCTCTCCAAGTATGCCCAACATCCATCTCAATATTCTCATTTTCGCCACTTTTATCTTATGGACATGAGAGTTCTTGACTGGCCAACACTCTGTCCGTTACAACATAGTCGGCCTTACAACCACTCTATAAAATTTATCTTTAAGTTTTGAGGGCACATTCTTATCACATAGGATACCTTATGTGAGTCTCAATTTCGTCCGCCCACTTCAATATGTTTTGTGTCATCATCGTCAATCTCCCAATTGCCTTGGATTATGACTTAAGATGCTTCATCTTTGATCAAATAAAAATAATTAAAAAGGTCCTAATAAAAAGTGTTTCTTTTTTTTCAAGTCTTACAGGATAAAAATTGGTTTATGGGAATTCTAAAGTAAAATCACATATATAAAATGAAAAAAAAAGAAAAAAAGAAAGAAAGAAATAAAATGTTGTGCCGGGAACCCGAATACCATATGGGGAAGTGGGTTTGGCGCGGGGGGGGGGGGGG